TGTTGATGGATAGAAAGTCAGCAGATATTTGGAAGCTGGTTGGTTAAACCCCTAGTAACAGTCAGTGTCCCTGGCCTGAGTTTATGAAAACCAGGGGCAGGCAGAGGAGCCAGATGGGTGTAGGACGGAGCTAGGCCCCAGACGTGGCCCCGGTTCACTGGAGGTGCGTACAGTTGAGGGAACCAGAATGATTTCATTTGTGTTTCAGATTTGTGTCCAGTAGAATCTGGTTAAATGAAAGAACCCCTGTATGTTCTAAGGCCCGTGTCTGTATTCTTTCTTTGTAAAGGGCCAGAAAGTACACAGTTTTGCCTTGTGGGCCACTTGTGGCCTCTGATGTGCATTCTTCAGGCCAACCCCAGCTTTAAGGGAGAGTTGGGGCTGGAAGAGCCTCCCTCTGTGTGGTCTCACTGTGGAGCATCACACTGAACAGGTATCAGGCTCCCTCCCCTGGTGCTGTTTCCATAGCAATGGTCACTTGGTTCCCACAGCCCATTAGCATCCTAGGTTTCTGTCAATATAAAATCCAACCCCGGATGTGTGGTCAGAGATGGCTACTTTGACGGTGAATCACTTGTAATTCCTTGGCTGTGGGTTGTTAACATCGATATGTTTGATTTTAGAACCTTCTGGCACTTGTGAAGTCTTGTCTTGGCTCCCCAGTTCTGTAGATGGGGAAACAGGTCTAGAGAGGCCAGAAATGTGCTCAACAGGTGCAAAACTTGGTTAAAGAGTGGGAGAAGGGGCTTCAAAAAACTGCAGTGTTGGGTTGAGTGCAGGCAGTAGTCCAGTGTGTCCTCTGTTTCAGCTTCACTGAGGGGCTCTCATCACAAGTAGGAGGCATTTTACCTAAACATAGTAGGTGGTGGTCAGTTAGTATTTGTTGAATGGTTGAATTTATTGAGAGGACAGAGTTCAAGCAACAGTTGGAGACCAACCAACATCTCTTAGACACGATTCCCAGGAGAGTGGCTTTCAGTGGCGCAGGGTTTGTCTGTCTTTCTTTCTTTCCTTCTTCCTTTCTTTCTTCCTTCCTTCCTTCCTTCCTTTCTGTAGGAGTGGGGTTGTGGTCAGGCTCTGGCCTCCTGCTGCTTCCTGGGGGTGGGGTGGGGCTGGTTAGTTCTGAGAAGCGTGGTGTCACCAGGAAGATCCATGGAGGGCTCTCTGTCCACTCCGACATTTGCCCCTGGGCCCAGGCAGTGCAGAGTCAAAGAAAGATTGGTTTGTATCAGTGAGCAGGCAGAAGTTTGGACTGGCAGGTTTTTTTTTTATAACGTTATGTAAGTTTCATGTGTACACATCACATTTCTACTGCTGCAAACCCCACAGCGTGCTCACCGCCAGCAGTGTAGTTTCCATTCGTCCCCACACAGTTCATCTCCTTTGCCCATTTCGCCCTCCCCCAATCCCTTCCTTTCTGGTAACCACTACTCTGTTCTCTGTATCCATGTGTTTTTGATTGGTTTGGTTTGTTCATCTATTTTGTGTTTGGTTGGTTTTTATATTCCACATAAAAGTGAAATCTTTCTTCGTCTTTCTCCGTCTGACTTATTTCACTTAACGTAATACCCTTGAGGTCCACCCATGTTATCCAAATGGCAAGGTTTGAGTAATATTCCGTTGTATTTATATATACTACATCTGTTTTATCCATTCATCCATTTAGGCTGTTCCCATATTTTGTCATTTTGGCTTTTGTAAATAATGCCACAGTGAACATAGGGTGCGTATATTTTTTTTTTCAAATTAGTATTTTCCTATTCTTTGGATAAATACCCAGAAGTGGGATAACTGGATCACATGGTAGTTCTGTTAATTTTTTGAGGAATCGCCATACAGTCTTGCACAGTGGCTGCCCAGTGCACGTTCCCGTGGACTAACAGATTTTAAGTAGCTCGGTCAGGGACCGTGGAGGTGTAGCTGTGATTTAGCATTTCTGCCGTTGTGCTGCAGTGAAGGGTTGTGGAATGTGCTTCTTATGAACTAGCCCTGTGACCGTGGGTGAGTCCCACCATCTCTGCAGGCTGGATGCCGCGTGGAGGTTGTGTCCCCTTTATCCTCTGCATGTCCCAGGCCCAGCTCACTGCGGGCACATGGCAGTGCTCAGGAAAAATGTGTTGGATAAATGAGTGCATTAGTTTTCTATTGTTGCTTTGACAGATTACCATAAATCTAGTGGCTTAAAACAACACATGGATTCTCTCACAGTTCTGGAGGTCAGAAGTCTGAAATGAATCTTGTTGGGCTGAAATCAAAGTGTCAGCAGGGCTGTGTTCCTTTTGGAGGCTCTAGGGGGAATCTGTTTCCTTGCCTTTTCTGGCTTCTGGAGGCTGCCTGCCTGCCTCTGCTCTCGGTCCTCTTCCAACTTTAAAGAACATCGCTCCAGCCTGTGCTCCTGTTGCCACGCCTCTCCTACTCTGAGCCTCCTGCCTCGTGCTTCTGAGGACCCTTGTGATTCCACTGAGCCCACCCTGATAATCCAGGACCATCTCCCCTTGCCAGAGTCCTTCCTCACATCCCTTTGGCTGTGACACATGGAGGGTAGCATGGCCACAGGTTGTGGGGATTAGGACATCTGCATCTTTGTTGCTTGGCTTGTCACAGTTTGTTCAGTATCCTGGTCAGAGTCCATGGGGAGGCCTCCTGCTGGTGAGTGGAAGACTCAGTCCTCTGTCTGGGCCCCCCTCTCTTGGCGGGCCCTACTTGGACCCCTGCTCAGGCTGTAGGGCCTCTTCAGGGGTGCCCCCCAGGCTGCCCAGCTATTTACCACCTGAGACCTTTGAAAGTGTTTGTTTAAGGCCTTTCCTTTTAGACCCAGGGTCAGCAAACTTTGCAGGCCGCATGCTATCCTCTTGCATGTTCTTTGCTGTTGTTTTTTTTTTTTAAACAAATATGAAGAATGTAAAAAAAAGTCATTTTAGCTTGAGGGCCTTAAAAAACAGGCCACTGGCTGGGGCCCTGACTTGTGTTTGCCAACCCCTGTTATAAACTGAGCTCTGTACGCAGGGGCCATGTGTGGCTCTCACTACAGTGGCAGTCTCAAGTGCTTTTGTTAGTAGTGTTGCGTTGTGTGCACACTAGCGCTAGCAGGGGTTCATGTTCCTCCCCCAATGATCTTTTCTATTGGTTTGATTTGACAGAATTACCTAATCTTAATGGAGAATTTCAGGTTGATTCACATTTGAAAGCCTATTAAGCACTGGTCATTCTGACGCCAACAAGATCTACCCCCTTTCCTGGAGGGGCTTCCAGCCCAGTCTGGGAGGAGGCAGCCCGGGGAGGCTGTTACTAATTCTGACTTTGGTGGAATTGGACCCAGTTTGGGGGAGGGAGATTTAAAGGTAAGGGGTGTGTTGTGGAACCCTTGGGTGTCAAATCTGAATTTAGACACTTTTGGATGGTTTCCACCCCCGGTCACTGCTGTTCCTTGCTCCTGGCACTTGAGGGTGACTGGTACTGAGTGTCTCTGACTGGTAACTTGGTGAGCATTTCTGCTGGTTCTTTTTTCACTGAGCCCGCTCTCCTGGACGCTACAGGGCTCTTGCCTCCTGGGCTTGGGTGCCGTCGGGAGCCTCTCCCTTCCCCTCGGCCAGCTGGGCTGACTGAACCAGGATGTAGGTGGGGAAAGGAGTTAAGTATTCAACCCGGGTGGCTGCAACCGTGTGGGGAGGAGAGGAACCTTTCCCTGAGAGAGGGGTGACCACCTGGTAGGTGTCCCCTTTGCAGAGGCGAGCGCTGCGCATCGCACCCAAGCCAGGGCTCTCGCCCCTGGGCGCCCATCGAGGTGTGTGAGCTTCCAGCTACAAATTGCATGCTGATCTGTTCCTGCACCTGAGACGGTGACTGGAGGGTCTTGAGTATCAGATTTATTCATTTTCATGACTTGTGAAATGAACGAAAGGTTGGATACACCCAGCATGTTGGATGTGCTCTTCTGGCCTGCGTGGCTTCGGGCTAGGATGAAGTGACAACCCTTCCTGCTGCAGTGACACCAAGTGCCTCTTATGAGGCATGGGTGTTTTCACAGCTGTCTGTTTCGTCATTAAAGACAAATTATCAATATGTCTAAGTTGATGCTTTGGCTTTCTTTTCCATACATTAATTCCAGTGGAGGTAACGGTCACCTGTACAAGTTTTTATTTTCCATGATCAACTTTAGAACCGATAGCCAGGATTGGATGTAGAATAAAGGGCACTGGAGCTATTAGTCCTCAGTGCCTGACATGGGGCCTAAGTATTTGAGTGGATGAGTGAAGCCAGTGCTCACGGAGGAGCCTGCAGAAAGTTAAGAAGTAGCAGAGGGGAGGAGCTTCTCTTCAAGATTTCCTCCGAGTAGAGAGGCAGGAATCGAGAGGCAGGAATCAGGGGAGCAGGCTTGGACATGCAGCCCCGTGTGGGCTCCCCCAGGGAGCGCCTGCTCCCTGCTCTCTGCTTGCCATGTCTGCACCTCAGAGAGCCCTGCTCTTGTTGGCTAAGCAGGCATTTTTCCCTCTGGGTGCTGGTTCTTTATTTTGAAAAGAAAGGAGCCCAGCTGCTTGGTTGCGTCCCTAGACTTGGTTTTGCTCATCTGTGAAGTGGCCAGCCTTCCGTCAGCGAGTTTTGTGCTTCTCCCCTGTCTGCCTGCCTTATTTTTGATGGTACATGGATGTGCTGCAAGTGACAAGTAAGCATTTATGTTTGCACCTTGAGGAGCTGTCCTTGACTCAGAGAGAGGACTCGGTGTGTGCAGGTTTCCCTTTCCATGTGATTGGTGAGTGAGAGACTCCAGCTGGTTTTCAGCTGGGGGAGAGTTCTCAGCCTGGTGGGGTGGGGTGGGGTGGTGTCTACAAAATGCTCTAATTTAAATGTGAGCAGGACAGCTTGTGTGTGGTAAGGACATCTTTCTAGGGACAGACCCCAGAACTTTCTTCAGATCTTCAAGGAGATCCACCATCCCTGAAGGATTCAGTCCATTGTGTCAGAGGTTCTGGCAGATTAACATGCTTTTTTCCTTTTCAAAGGCAGATCGGGAGCGGTGCCAAGAAAAATTTCCTTACTAGATGACATTTCATCGCAATGTCCGATCGTTTGGGGCAAATAACCAAGGGCAAGGATGGGAAAAGCAAGTATTCGACTCTCAGCCTGTTTGATAAGTATAAAGGAAAATCAGTAGACGCGATCAGATCCTCAGGTAAGAGCGAGTTGGAGGCCACCTCGTTATGCTTTCCCTTCGGTGAGAAGCCCGAGGTCAAGGACTGGGAAAAGCCAGAGTCCCCTGTCTGGTCAGACAGATGTGGTCCACGCACGCCAGTCTCTGGGCCGTGGTGGTCATCCCACCGTTCCAGGGAAGCGGATCACTCTCTGCTCCTATTTGATGTCTGATTTCAGAGCCTGGAGTGTCCTGACTGCTGTAGTAGGGTTATTTCCTCATCTATCTTTTCTTACTGAAGCCATGAATATTTTAGCCTGAAGGGTAGAATGGAACTTAATTTGCATTAGAGTCACTTTTTTGGGGTTTCATGGTTCTGATATTCTGGAACTTGGCGGGGAAAGTTCCTGTTGATTGTATCTGTACCCTGTGAGGATTGTATGAATGTCGGGCGCCCCGCTCAGGCTTGGGTCCAGGAAAGGCTGTCCCTTCAGTCCTGCTGCAACAAGGCCGGAGCAGTTGCCCCTTGCAGGGGGTGGTTACTCTGTGAGATGGAGATTTCGGGCCTGGCTCCTTGCCCGTGTTGTAAACTCCCTGAGCCTTCTGTGCTCCAGTGAAGTGGGAGCCTCTGCTCAGATTTCAGCAGCTCCTGTTTCTCTGAAGTCCTCGTTGAAGAGCTTGTAAAGTGACCGCTTTTTGTTTCCGTGACAGGTCTGTCCCTTATCTTTTGTTTGATTGTCTTTGACATTATCGAGTAGAGTTTGGAAGAGCAGCAGAGTGAACCCAGCGTCTTTCCTTCTGTAACCTCCTGTTTCCACCTCTCCCTTCCTGCAGTTCTTCCTAGACATGGCTTACAGAGTCTCGGGAAAGTTGCCACAGCCCGGCGTATGCCACCGCCTGCAAACCTACCAAGCTTGAAGTCTGAAAACAAAGGAAACGACCCCAACATCGTTATAGTGCCCAAGGACGGGACGGGATGGGCAAACAAGGAGCAGCAAGACCCAAAGAGGTGGGAGGGGGCGGGCGGGGGCAGGGGCGGGGCTTTCCCTTCTGTGGGCTGCCACGCTGGGGCCAGGGAGGTTCTGGAGGAGGCTGCTTCCACCCTTCCTCCTGCTGCTTAGTTGTTTTTTGCTCCCTGCCTTCATTTTTCCTAACTCTGGGAGCTGATACTGCGGTGTTTCTGTGAGCTGCCTTGTCCCCAGTGACCATGTTCCCTGTACCTTGTTAGGAAGGGACGCATCACCCCCCAGAGGAGGTTGTGCAGTGACTCAGAGCCAGTTCCTGTACGAGCCCCGGGGGACAGAGCTGGTGCTTGAGCTCTTCATGCTGGTGGGGGTCCCCAGGTGCTGGGCTCCTGGCTGTGGGGCCAGCAGCTTTCCACACAGGCTGCTGCAGGAGCTCCAGACAGCCCGGTCACTAAGGAGAGCACCCCCAAATCCACGGAGTCAGAGTCAGTACGCAGCCTCCCTGAAGGCTCCCCCTCTGCCAGCTCAGTGCTGACGGGAGCCTTAGGAGACCCAGGGGCTGACACACAAGTCATCACTAGAGAAAGAGAGCAATTGTTGCAGCTGCTGTTGGGTGGTGGGACCGAAAGCTCAAGTCCGCCAGGCACGTGACCTGGGCCTGCCTTCCCTCAGATGCCTGGGCCTTTGTCCCTCTCCTTCCACTGCTGGTCTCCTCGGGCTGCATTTCAGCCAGTGACAGGCTGTCCAGGAAAGAGGACTTGGGGTTTGTGCTGAGGGGGGCCTGGGGAGGGACAGGGCCTTGCTAAGGCTGGCAGGCGGAGTCCTACTGCTAGGGTTTGCCTGTTGGGGAATGAAAACAAAGCGGTCCGGCCTGTAACACTTTCTCGCCCTGCCTCCCTCGTGGTCTGGCTGCTCAAACTCAGGACCCAGAAAGTAAAAGTGGCCCAGATGACAGCTTGCCCCCAGGCTCCTTTTCTCTTACTGAAAATGGCCACGGTAGCTTTTGTGAAACCTCCCTGTAGTTATCTCAGATGACACATGGAGAGTGAGCAAATAATTCAGTCAGGTTGTCATAAAGTAGTCATACCTGAAATAGAGTCTTACAGTAGCTATTTAAACACCCTTCCTAACCGTCTCCTTAAGGATCATACTGATTGATGGTATAGTGTGACTTTCAGAGTCAGACAGGTGTGTGCGTGTGATTTCCATCCAGGCCCTTTATTAGCTTTATGGGACCTGGGGAATGATCTGAATTCTGAGCATCAGTGTCCTCCTGTGAAGTAGAACTAATACCTGGCTCCGGGGGGTTTCAGGAGATAGAGGAGGTCACGCAAGGCAAGCTCTGAGCACAGAGCCTGGCACAGAGGCCATGCTCACAGGGGTCAGCTGTCACTGTCATCGCTCTATTCAAGTGTAGAACACTACAAACTCGGTAGTGAAACTGACACTGTTCATTTCAGTGAAAGCAGCAAAATGCCTCTGCTACTGACAGTTCTAGAGAGGACCGAGCCTCGCTCCCTCCCCTTATCCAGTCTTACCCAGCATCGGCAGAGAAAGTACCAAGTGGCTGGAATGAGGCCGGTTGTGCTGAAGCCAGCCTGCCAGTGAGGGGTGGAGTGTGGTCCTCTGCTGCCCTGGGCCACATCCCCCGGGCTGTCAGGGCGGTGGCGGAGCAGGGGCCACACCTGCTGGAAGTCAGTGCTTGGGTTTGGAGAACACAGAAGTGACGCTCCTGGAAGCGTCCATCTGAGGCAGAGGGTGACGTGGGCGAAGGAGGACTTACTGTGTAGCTGTCGTGCGTGGCGAGTTGCAGTGCTGAGTAAGCCTGGGAGAGTGCATGTGTAGAGTTTGGCTTCAGCTTACAGATGAGCCGCTGGCATTGGTGGATTCTGGCCAAGAGCTTGCATCCTTCTTGAATCTCGTCAGGTGGAGACTGAACAGAAAGAGTGACTGGAAGGCTGCAGGCTGGCAGGCTCTTGCTGCTGTCTCAGATGGTTACTTGGGGAGTGATTAACGGATGCACTTTGCCCGAGGGCAGTCCCACTCTATCTTTTAAACTTCAAAACATCTTCTAATGCAGCTTTTCCATTTCTCAGAACTTAGACTGCTGAACTGCTTACACACAAGTGTGCAAAGATACATGCATAGAAGAGTCTACTGCAGTTTTATCTGTAATACAAGAGAAATTGGAGATTGGTACATGTGCCCCAGCCACCTATGCTGTGTCGTTAAAAGAAAGGTAGAGCCATGTGCATTCTCATGGAAATGTGTCAGGTGGATTAAGTAAAGCGCAAGCTGTGGAACTGTGTGTGTGTGTGTGTGTGAACTGTATGTTACCCCACGGGTGTTGAAAAAATAGTCTTATATGTAGAAAAAATTACTTGAGTTTCTCTCTGGAGGATGAGATTGTGACAAATTCTGTGTCATGTTTATTAACTTATTTTTACTATGAGCATATATGTCTTTTACAAGCTGAGAGAAGGTTAGAAAAGCACCGTATTTCAAAGCAGCCAGCCCCTGAGTTGCTGTGGGCTCTTGGTCAGGAGTGAGGGGCAAGGGGCTCAGCCCCTTCCCTGCGCTGGCTCAGTGCCCCGCTTGGCAAACCCTCCATCCCTTCCTTGTTCATGGTGAGCTCTCAGTTTTGGCAGACAGAAGGCCCTGCAAGAAGGCGGAGGTCTGGCCTGTAGAATGTCACTGTGTAGCCTCACGTGTGGTTCAGTTTCTTGTTGCCTTTGCCAGCATAGGAGTCTACCTGGGAAGGTATTTTTGTCGCCCACAGGAGTCTTGCTCCCAGCGAGCAACCGTGTCTCCTGGGCACATGGAGGGACCTTGTCAGCCTGGCCAGTGCCTGTCTAACTCTCATGTATCCTGCCTTTGTCTAGTTCCAGTGCGACGGCCTCTCAGCCGCCGGAGTCGCAGCCGCAGCCGGGTTTGCAGAAATCTGTCTCCAATTTACAGAAGCCGACACAGTCAATCAGTCAAGAGGTAGGTGCTAGGGACCCTGTCCTTATTGTTGACCAGACATTGAAGCGCTTCGCGCCCCTGTGCCGGGGTCTGCTGGGGGCTGTCATCGAGCAGGGGAGGTCTGCACAGCCTGCTTACTCCAGAGACAGACCCCAAGAGGGGTTTGGGAGAGGAGCGTGGGAGGTGGCTGTGGTCGCTGGTGGAGCAGGTCATCTGCAGCTCTTGGGAAAGATCCCAGGTCCGGAGTGGAATGCAGATACCTCATTTGGTTCCTGATGGCTGAACCTGAGGTGAGGTTGCTCAGGCCAGTAGGGGCCTAGATCAGGGTCCCTCAGTGTCTGTGTGGAAGCTAGGGCCATAAGGAAACAAGGGTCAGGGCCTAGAAGGTTCAGCGTCACGTGAGTTTGAAAAGCAAAATTAAACAAGCTGCTTTACTTGCTTTTTCTTAATGTCGTGCTTTTTCTCCACATCTTCAATATGCCAGCGTGTCCTGGGACACTCTTAGAAGAAGACGTAATGGACGGCATTCCCCAAATTTACTTGTCCTTGGGAACCTTTTCTAACTGAACGTCTGTAGAAACTGGTGTCTCTCAGAACACACTGGGAAATACTGCACTATAACCCTTTACTTGCTGATGCATTTAAATGGAAGTCATGATGTAATCAATGTAAACTTCAAAACATCACAGCATGCCCAGTCCATCGGAGTCTGTCTGTGGGTCACAGAGATCAGCTGGCAGCTAGGATTCTAGATGGTGTCTGAATCTATTAGAAGACCAAAAGAAAACTAAACAGGTTCCTGACATTCCCCGGCACTCTTGAAAACAGCTTGAACTGCTAATTTTGTGTTGCTGCCTGGGTGGTAAAAGGTCTGAGGTGCTGTCCCCTGTCTGTGGGGAAAGTTTTTGGCTTTGCCGGAAGGATACCCTCCTCCACCCAACGCTGAACTGTGCTTTGGAATTCAGGGAAAAGAAAAGAAGAAATCCATGTTCACTCGAGGCCCCGTGTCCATTGGCCTAAGTCTCCTGGGGCCTGTCAGTCAGAGTACGTAGCATTGAGTTCCCCAGAATTTGAAACTAAGTGAAATTAAGGACCTTGGTTAATTTTACAGCCTTGGCTCTACGTCAGACTCAACCTTCAGAGCTCATCAGAGACGTGCACATCTGTACCAGTGCTGCAGGGTCCGGGCTGGGCCTGCGTGCGGTCCTAGGCAGTTGCTGTGGGAACTGTCTGTGGTCAGGGTGGGGCCCTGTCTTGGAGCCAGCACCCAGCACTACCTGGCGCTCAGCTCCTCCCAGCGCATACCAGCCCTCCTCTCATGTGGGGCTGGGAGCAGGGGAGGCTCCCCATGTTCTCCGGCTTTTAAAACCTCACCTGAGTCATTACAGCAATTCTCCTCTTGGGATGAGATTTGCCACAATGTTAGGAACCCCTTCTTGGCCCCGCAGGAGTTCTCTTCTGTTTCAGTGCCTTTGGTGGGTGAGGACAGGGGTGCTGTCCCTGTGACTACAGACACCAAGCGGGAGGCTATGGGGCGGCAGCGCCCAGGGCCCCCCTGCTTCCTGCTGGTCTGGAGCCTCGCCTCCCCCCTGCCAAGGGACGCCAGCCCCAGCAGGAGCTGCCCTGCTGGTCATGTTGCTGTCACCACCCTCATGTGGTCTGCGTGGGGGGATTGTGGGCATTCCAGACCACCCATGGCAGGCACTCAGGGCACATCTGTGAGAAATAAGTGGATTGTTGCTCTGCACTGCGGGTGAGAGAGACGGCCTCTGCTTTGAGTTGTGTGGTGGTGGCGGCAGGGGGAGGGGGAGGGGAGATTGTTTAGTCTGAGATCTAATCCAGTGAGTGATGGAATGGCCTGCAGCTTCAGCTGCTTTGTTTTGTGTCTTTACCTTCAGTTGTTAAGCCTTGTGTTGTTGGGAAAGGCAGCTGAGCTCAGTGGTGGGGACCTGAAGGGCCTTTGGACGCAAGCAGGCGGGGGCACGTCCTGATCCTGCCTCTCTAGCTGGGTGTCTAACCCAAGTGACTCTCAGCCTTGGCCGGGAGGTGGGGGGGGGGGCGTCCCAGGTGTGCTGCAGTGAGCTTCTGGCAAAGGTTAGTGGAGCCAGCAAGTCCAGATCCGTGCAGGGATCCGTGCAGGCAGAGGCGTCTGACTTGGGGAGCGGTGCCTTGTAGGATGGCAGGAGTTATGGGAAGTGGTGCAGCGGCCTGGCCAGCCGAGCGCCAGGCGGGTTTGTGTTCTTCTGTAGCAGTGGCACCCAGTTTTTGAGACATGTGCTAGAACTGGGGTTTGGTCTTTTTCCGGAGCAAGACAGTAGCTCTGTGTGGGCCTGGGAGGCAATGTGAGGGCATGCTCGGAGCCCGGCATGGCTTGGCTGTGTGACTGCGGGCTGGCCACTCACCCCTGCCCTGCGCGGCTTCTGCATGAACCAGAGACTGTGGGGGTGGATCCTGCTCAGCTGGTGGTAGTGGGAACAAGGCTGTAGCGGTTGGGCCTCCGGTGAGGGCCCAGGGGGCACTTTGTTCTGACTCACTCAGTGACGGACAGCAGACCCACTGGGCTGGCCCTGTTCTCACTGTCTGTCTTCTTTCAGAGTACAAGTTCAGCGCCAGGTGGACCAAAGTCATGGGCACAGCTGAATGGAAAGCCAGCAGGACACGAAGGTGGTAAGTGTGTGTGGGGCATTGCTGTGGGTGGGTGTGAGAGACTGGCCTGGCTGGCCCAGGCGGTCTTTGGCCTGAAGCTTTGTGGACCCTTCCCCAAGCGAGATACTGTTCTGTGGGGTCTTTGCCTTCACCCTGGCTGTGGAAGCGCTGATTCTGCAGAACCCATCAGCTCTCGGATGTCATTGCATGTTACTGCTGAAGCAGTCCTGAGGTGTGCAGGGCAGACCCGGTGCCCGCCCTGCCGCCACTTGCTTGGCCGAGCTGCTGATGGAGTCAGCGCCCCTGGGCAGCCTTGCCAGCTCTCACCCCCTCCTCTCTCCTGGGGCCCCAGGAGGGGGCGTGTGTTGGGCGGTGACCTTCCTTTGGGCCTGGGTTTATAAATAAGCTGGCCATGGGAGTTGAGCTGCTTGCTTTTGCACAGTAACACCAGTGTTGAGAGGGCTACGTGGGATTTGTTGCCATTAGTCCATTAGTCGTGCCAGACAATGGGGAAGCACTGGTAAATGCAGTTGGCTCTGTCCAGCTGTGGGGCTTCAGCAGAGGGAGGATGGGGGTTGGGAGGCAGAGGAGAGAGAGTCCAGAGTTTTGAACTCGTGCTGAATGACAAACTGAATGGCTTCCGAGGCAGGACTGGAACAGAGCGGTGTGGGTAAGGGGCGGGGGTGCCTTGGGGCCCGGAGCCTGTGAGCCCTGAGCCGGGGGGAAGGTGGACAGGCTCCCCTCCAGCGACAAGAGCCCTTTGAGTGTGTGGGCCCAGGGTCAGCAGATGGTTTTGAGAGAAGGCAAAGATCCAGACTTTTCTCATGAACTCCCCTAACCTTCCAGTGTTGGCTTGACTGTTTCTAGCTCACTGTGCAGTCCTTGCTCGGCAAGCCCCCGAGCTGGAAGGAGAGTGAACATGGTGTGAGTGGTTACACCGCAATTGCTCTTTCTTCTGTACAGAGCACGGGCTGCCTTTTTCACCCTTTGCCCCCTGACCTGGCATTGCCCTCTGTCTTCTGTGTATCCCTGCCAGCCAAGGCCTTGCCAGACGTAACATTTTATAGCTTATAGTAGAAAAAGAGCTACGTGTCCTGCTTTCCCTGTGCAGCCCTCACCACCCTGATGCCCAGAGGACGTGCCGTCCCAGGGTTGGAGGCCCACCTCTTGCTCCGCCCCTGTGGAGAAGGACACATCAGTCCGTGCGCTGGGTTGAAGCTCCAGCTTCTCTAGAGGAGCTACAGGCAGGGGATGTCGGCCTGGGGCTGTGAGCGGGCTGTACGGGTGTCTCCAGCCTAGGGTGACGTGGAGGGAGGGGGGGCCGGGTGGTGACAAGGCATCCCAGCCCCTCAAAACCAGGTCTTTACGGGGGATTTGCTCGACTGTTAACAGTGGTTCTTCGCTTTCTGTAGCCTTTGTTTCTGCACTGTTGGAATTTAAGTAAACCAATGTATTAATTTTTATTTAAAAAGAACTACAGAGATAAAAAAGAGCTCGCGTACATGGGCACAACCCCTCTGGAGGGCAGCTGGGCGCTGCCTGTCACATGCCAATCTGATACCTTTGACCCGGCACTTCCACTTTGAGGAAATCACCCTGTAGGTGACACTTGCAGGTGTATGAAATGGCATATGTACAAGATGATTCACTGCAGCATTGTAATAGCAAAAGGTTGGAAACAGTTACTTGAGATATCCATCAATTTATGGTGCTTTAATAAATACTATCTGGCTATAAGGAAAAAAAGCAGTTTTCTGCTGATATGGCAAGATCTCCAGGACATTAAAAAAAAGTGTAGAATAGTATGTAGAACATGTTACCATTTGTGCAAAAAATCAGGGTGCGGGAAAATACACTTTAAAAAAATGTTGAATATGCAAAAAAAAAAGCCTCTAGAAGGAAACATAAGAGGAAGGGAGGGGAGGAAACAGAAAACCACCTGTTTTGTGTAGGCAGATGGGGCACGCAGCGGGGAGGAAGCCTTCAGTTTATACCTTTTAAGGCTTTTTGCTTTTGAACCTTGTGATTGTATTACCTATTAAAAATAAAACTTGATTTAGAAAGTGATTCTAAAACAGTAAAATACTCTAAACGTGTGATAACTCGTCTGCGAGACGGCGAACCCAGCGGCCCAGGGGAGAGAACAGAGGCGTGCCGACCCAGTGGGGCCGGGATGGGCTTCTGACTCCCCTCCTGTGCTAGGGCCACAAGCCTGTGATGCCAGCAGATTGTGGGGATTTGAGGGTGTTGCCCGCAAACCTTTTCAGGACTTTGAAATTCAGAAGGATTCTTCCTGAATTGATAGGCTCTCTCCATGTAGGAGGCGGGTGTGTGGTCAGTTTCACCTGGGTCAGACCCAGGAGGCCTGAGGGTGTGGTTCAGGCAGAGGCCAAAGGCACATGGCTCGTGGCCTCTGCTGCCAGCAGCACCACCAGGGGCTTGACCTGGGGCCTCGGAAGAACCCCCTGACTTTCCCACCTCGGTTTCTCACGACGAAGAACAGATGATGGGGCGGGAGGTGGGCATTGTAGGACATGGAAGGAAGCCTTAGGAATACTACTGCTTTGATTGGAGATTCTGAGTTCACTTTATCCTTTTTGCCTTTGGAGGGTAAGTTTAGTTCATGATTGGAATAATACCTTTAGGACTGTCGAGGTAGAGAAAAAGTACTGGGCATTTGCTGGTTTGTTTTTTAAACTTCAAATAATCTACCATATTTTTACAGTATGACTTTCACAACTCATTCTTGCCAGTGACCTTTTAACATAATGAAGCAGCTATGTGAGTCAGGGGCCCCTCCACAGAGCAGCAAGGCTCCATCGTGATGCTTGGCGATTGTCTCTCAGGTTAATCATTTGTTAACCATGTGCCCAGTGATCACCCTGGCAGGTTCATTTGACCCTGGACCTCATTCACTAAGTGGGATGGTGAATGAACTGGCTCCTTATGCATCTTCACTAGTCCCGGCTACATCTTTCTGCAAAGTCTGCCTTCGTTAGCAGGTCCACAAATCAGTGGTGCTAAGAAATTTGCCTTGGGGCAAATTTGACTTTATTTTCTAGGGAGTAAGGCATATCACAGCTGGACATCGTGCTGTGGTGTTAGTCTTATTAAGTTTGTAGGGTGCTGGACGTGTGCTGTGTATTCCAGATAAAAGGATCAAATCCTACTTGAGACCCTAAAATTCGTCACTTATTAACAATTCATTCAAAAGATGACTGCAGGCTCCCAATGCTGAGTGCAGTGAGCGATAGGAGCAGTTAGTAAAAGGCTTCTTCCCTGAAGGAGTATCTAGTCTTGGGGAATGGTTGGAACAACAAAGAAAGAAATCGTTCCCAGGATTACAAGAGTGAAATGTTTGGCCTTGAGGAACTTTGGAGAAAATGGTAAATTGGAGCGGACAAACAAGGAGACAGTTGTGAGGGTCAGCCTATGGTGGAGGCATTGCATGGGGGCATTGCCTCCACCCAGAAGCAGCTGACTTCACTGGGCTGATTTCACTGAAGACCATGCTTATCTGCCCCCAGGGTCACCAGAAGGACTTTACTTCCTTCTTCCAGGAGCAGACTGGGGAGGGTCTGGGCTGGAGCAGCTGTGGTGTCTTCCCCCATGCCCTCTGTAACCAGCTGCTGCAGGTTAGCTGGCAAGGGGCCTGGTGCAGCCTGCAACTGGCCTCTCCTTGTCACCCTCAGGGAACCCTGGCGTCGCTGTGCCGGCACCAAACGCCAGCGCAGACAGCGCACTTGAAGGGAGCTCATTCAGGGCCGTGTGGCTTTGGGGATGGGCAGTTGCTGCAGCAGAGAGCTGTGATGCTGCTCTCACTCGCTCCATAAGTCTTTCTCATTTTCTTGACAGGTTTAAGGGGCTCAAGCCGACTGTTATCCTTCTCTCCCGAGGAATTTCCGACGCTGAAAGCAGCTGGAGGGCAGGACAAGGCTGGCAGAGAAAAGGGCGTCTTAGATCTGTCGTATGGGCCAGGACCAAGCCTCCGCCCTCAGAGTAAGTGAGCTACAGCCCCTCTGGGCGCCCGTGGGAGCAGCAGGATTTCCCCACCTTTCTGGCCGTTAAGAAGTGTGCCGCTTCTCACAAAGTTAGAGCTCGGGGGTCCAGGCTCCTTGCCCAAAAGGCGTGGTTACTGACCCTGCACCTGATCCCTGCATCTGCCGGACCTACTCCCTGGGCTGGGCTGGAGGTCACTCCTCCTGTCTTGACCTTCGGGTCGGGCCAGGCCTATCTGCCTTCCCGGCTGTCATGGGATGTCTGTTCTGCTGAGCGTGGGTGGTCGTGGCGAGGACAGACGGGCCAGCTTGGCCCCTGATTCCAGAGGTGGTTTTCTAAGCTGTGGTCCCCAAACCTAGACAGATCCCATCAGCATCACTTGGGGAGTTGGTTAAAAAGTCTGATTTCCAGCCCTCCCCCATCCCTAGCCAGATTAGAATGTATTTTTTTAATCCATCCCCCTGGTTGAGTCACCAGCCCAGCACTAGTCTCCCCGGCCCCCTCACCAGGCTCTGGCCAAGGGGCCAGCAGGATGGTGGAGTGATGCTTGCTGCTGATGTCTTTTTCTTAGTGGCCTAGGGTGGTAAGAAGATAAGGTTTTGTTTAGAAATGAGATTTTCCATCTGTTCTAATCACGGGTTCTGAAATAGCTCTGGTTGAGGGGTGGGTGTTGATTGGGTCCTGAAATATGAGGGACTTTTATCTGCTTGTTTTGATTACTCCCCAAGGTATCCAAAAGTCAGAACTGATACTCCGTAAATGAAATGATCACTATGTGACTCTTTAATGAAACATACTGCCTTTTCAGTGACCATTGCTCGGTTATTTTGTCCACTCCAAAAATATAATCAAATTCCTTAGGCCAAGAACTGGAACTTACAGGGATTAATTAAGATGAGCTGCTATAGGACTATAAAAAATTAGAACTAGGAGAAGCTTCTCAGAACTATTCTACTTTCGGGTTTGAGAAGATGAAGAAGCAGATGGCCAGAGGGGTGATCACAGGGCTTGGCCAAGGTCACACACGGGTGGCTGAAGAGCTGGGGGCAGACTCTGATTTTGAGGCTCCCGTCCTGAGCTTCATTCTCACAGGGGTCAAGTATTCAGGGGTCTTCATGTTTCAACTCCTACCAAAAAGTTGATTGAAAAGAGTTTTTTTTGGTTCATCTGATTTCTCCTTGGCCTCTTAATTCCATCAGATTCTGCTGTGTTGGGCAGTAGAAAGCATCACCTTGAAACGTCAGGGAGGATTGGCAGTTCTCAGCCTGTAGCCCGCAGGAGGGCCCCACGGGCTGCTGCCGGGGTAGACAAGGGTGAAGGCCCCAGACCCTTCCACACCTCTGCTCTACCTCAGGAACTGGGGGGTCTCTGGAGGTGCCTCTGTTGAGCAGAGTTTGAAAACGTGTCAGGGATTCCCTGGTCTCAACATCAAGTCCACGCTGAGCACATTGCTGGTTCTGATGGGGCTGGGTTGGTGTTTGTGAAGAAATGACCAGACGCTGTTTTCCTCGGGACTGTCTTGGTTTCTTTGGGGTGTTAGGTCTGTGGCTGTGTGGTTTCTGTGGCTCGGTGAAGACCTTGTCTTGTTTACACTTCCCTTCTCTCTGGGCGGACCTCATTTTTGTGTTTCTCTTACAATTGGACTTCCCTCAGCAAGTTCATGCTCACTGGCCAGGTGTCCGCCCCCACCTTCCCTGACAGGCTTAAACAGTTGGCTCGATTCCTCACTTTGTTTTTTATTTTTATTTTTGTTTTTGGTGAATGAGGGGGGTCCCTTGACCTTCAGAACCTCATGCAATCCCTCCTCCCCCTCCTCTTTCCTCTCCCCTTTTGCCCCCTTTCGATTTCCAGATGTGACAAGCTGGAGGGAGGGCGGTGGGCGAAACATAATTTCTGCCACGTCTCTGAGCGCCTCCCCAACTGAGCTGGGCAACAGGAACTCAAGTGCGGGAGACGGAGCCCCCTCCTCGGCATGTACCAGCGATTCTAAGGACCCCTCTCTCCGCCCGGCTCAGCCTGTCCGAAAAGGGGCTTCACAGTCCATGGGGAGTGTATACCACCCACCTACATACCATGACATGCTTCCTGCTTTTGTAAGTCTTC